TGTTTTGTGAGATGGAGGAGGACTTTGTGGATTGGTGTTGGGCATATGGGTTAAGGTTGGACTTGTGGGCTTGGGCAACATTGGAGTAGGGATGTTTTCTTGATGTGCACTTTACCTTTATATAAAACTCTCTCTTATACATATGAGTTTCTGTGAATTTGCTTCTCTAAAGAACCCAGACTTACACAACATGTGACACCAGAGAACTGCCCTGGAGGGTTTCCTAAGCCCTGGATGCTCCCTGCGGGTTCGGTGTTGGCTGCCAACTACAAGATTGGCGGTTCAAACATACCAGTCCCTTCAAGGGAGAAAGACGCTGCCAAATCTTGAGTTGTTAGAGTTGGAATTAACTTGGGATGGTGGGCTGGGTCTGGTCAGTATTTAAGGGAACAGGTCACCAGGGCTTTCTCCTGTGGGACTGCCGGGCAGATCGGAAGTGCTGACCTGCCCTCTAGCTGAGCACTTAACCGTCTGCACCACCAGGGCTAGAGGCTGCTATAACAGGTGCTTATCAAAGAGGGAATGCTGAGCTGGTCACTAACAATTGTCAGGTGAGGTTTTCACATGCAAGTCCCACCTGACCACAAACAAGGGGAAAAACTGGTGGCAGAGAGGGAAAGGCAAGGTTTTCATGGGTGGGCCATGGCCAGTGGGGGCCAGGGCATGCAAGGACAGCGGGCTCGGGCACGGAGACGGAGCGGTGGCATTTTTCTGGTCATCTAGTGACAGGGGATGTGTCAGCAGACGTTAACATTGGATTGTGGTTCATCCTTTAAGGCAGTGGCTCAAGCTTCCTCACGCCTCAGCCCTTTACTACAGCTCCTCATTGGTGGTGACCCCCAACCATAACATTATTTTGGTGCTAATTCATCAGTCATTTTGCTCCTGTTATGAATCGGGAGACCCCTGTGAAAGGGGTCGTGACCCACCGGTTGAGAACCACTGCTTTAAGGTCACAATAGGAAACAAGTTGAGACTTGGGGCAGCTAGCTGAGGGCTTACACACTGGGCTGAAGGAGGCAGAAAGGAACCGTCTGGCCCCGAGGCGAGGAGGCGGGGAAGGCCCCGCAGTCCCCTCAGTTGGACGCACCCTGGCGCCCAAAGGCAACCACTCTCGCGAGTGTCTCTCGGAGTGTCTCTCGGAGTGTCACGACCCAAAGGAGAAAGTGAGAAACTACACCGAGGGAGGTTCTGACCTGAAGGGTCATCACAGTAAGACAGTCAGACCCCAAGACACAGAGAACCAACCAACCCAAAGGAGGCTTCTCCGGGAAGCCCACTTCTGTGGGACCCCATTTTCTCATCTTTAAGGAGAAAAGAAAAACCTGGGGAGCCATGCCCGCCCCTCCCTACACGGGAGTCATGTGGGACAGCACATCCCTCACATGCAAGCGCCGCACGATCTCAAGTGACTGGTAGGACGCAGACAGCTCTCACAACGAGAGGAGAGGGAGACCACAGCACCAGGCTGGGCGTGACAATAAACTAACGCAGCGCTGCCACCAAGTAGATGCTGACTCTTAGCAACCCCACAGAGGGCACCCCCGGCGGTCCATCTTTCTGGGAGCAGACGGCCTCCTCCACCTCCCTCCAGCCACTGACCTGGAGGTTAGCAGCCCAGTGCCCATTATCGATGGGCAGGTGTAAATGAAACTAAGCAGAAGAGTACTTTGGCTACTGGTTTAGGGGCCTTTATCTGGACATGGAAGAGCTCCCAGAACCCCTTGTGTCCAGGTGACTGACACTGATCTTTCTGCTCACTGGAGACCCTGCAGCTACCAACACGGAAACCACCGGCTTCCCATCTGTGAAGAGGGGCCTGTGAGGACCCCCTGGCTGGTGAGGAGTGTGCAGCAGGCTCTGGCACAGACCAAGGAGCTGCCGGGCCTCGGCGAGCTGGCGGAACTGCCAAGAGAGAGAAAGCCGTGGTGGTGTGGACAGGAAACCCTCTTGGTGGCAGGGAAATGTCTCCAACCCACGACCAGTGGCTTTGAAGCGGTCTTACATCAGAAACCCCATGCCCACTCCAGCGACCGGCGCTGTGTGCAGGAGAGAGGAGGGGCCGAGAGCAGCGGGGAGGCTGAGGGAAGAGCAAGGGGAGCCGAGGAGGGGGCAGGTTCTTGTCCCTGAGCTCCAGGAAGCTGTGACTGTGAGGCTTCTCTCCACAGACAGGCACGTCAATGAGGACAGGGTGTGTGTGTGTGCGCGCGCGCCGCCTCACCTCCTGTCCCTGGCGTTCCCACGGTCTGCCCTCAGGGTCCATGGCACCGTCAGCGTCGGCAAGCGCTCCTGGCTCCCAGGTGACCCAGGCAGGTCAGCCGCCTAGAAAACAGAGGTGGACACTAAGGAGTGGGATGCCCCTTCAAGAAGGAAACACGGGAGCTCTTCTGGACTTGGGCTGCGAGGCGCTTGAGCCTCCCCTTCCCGGCCCCCTGCCCATGCCCACCAGGGCTCACACAGTCGTGACCCACGGGGTTTCCAGAACTCGTTTGACAGGCTTTTCTTCCTAGTCTGTCTCGGTCTAGACGCTCCACTGAAAGCTGGCCAGCAGCATAGCTCCGTGGTGCCAGCCTCCACGGGCAGCCGGGCAGTGGCTGTGCTTGCTGTTCACAAGCAGGATTCAAACCGGGGGTCCAGCTCAGAAGGCCAGTTCCACCTCTGAACTACCACTGGGCCCTTATCGAAGGCGCTTTGGTAAAATGTGTAGAAAGTAAGTTAAACACTCGACAATTCATTAAAGCTATCAGAGGACAAGCAGACCAACTAAACAGCCCACGGTAAGCAACTGGCCAGATCCGTGGTGACTGGGTTAAACACACCTTTCTTTTGGGCCTCCTTGGGGCAGGCAGAGCTGCTTTAACGGAGGAGGGACGGAGAGAGGGAGGGAGGGAGGGGGCGGGGCTGGTGGACAGCTGGGCTGTCCCTGCCATGGTTAGGATTTGTCTAGCAGCTCGTCCCTTAGGAGAGGTGTGTTAGGGGGCAGGGGGAAGTCCTCTTTCCGGCCATCAACATGGTTATCAGTTTTTGTTGCCACATCTTCTGGGTCCATCGAGATTAGGAGGCAACATGGAGAAGTAGTGGGCTTTGGGGGAAGCTAATACAATAGACTTTAAGGAACTGCCGGTAGAGAAAGCTGGAGACAGAGGTAATAGGAAGTAGAAGATGGAGAATGGGCCTGGAGAGAAAAACACACCTCGAAACGGGACTCCTTTGCCCCTCGGACGTCAGTGAAGGAGCAGTCTTGTGGTGACTTGGACTCTTCTCTGCCAAAGAACAGAGGTGATACATTCATTCCTTGGCTTGGCTCCCCCGCCTGACTCAACTGTGACAGCGTCTCCCGAGGAAGCCTCTCCTCGCCCGATGGTGCTGCGACCGGAGAGGCACCGAGCACCACCGAGGCGCCAGAGGAGGCTGAGAGGCGTGGAGACAACGAGGTGCAGAAAGAGGGTGCTGAATGTGGGGGCAAGCTCGCCAGATCCCAGGAAGAGAATATGAAAGAGCCCAGGAGGGAGCCAGGGGGAAGCAGAGGAGGGAAAACCAGGAGGAGGAGAAGGTCCCTAGACCTTCTCATGCTTTTTAGTTTTTTATTAAAAGATCACTTTATTGGGGTTCTCATAGCTCTTATAACAATCCATACGTCCGTTTTTTGTACATACGTTGCCATCATCATTTTCTTTCTATTGAGCCCTTGGTGTCAGGACTTCTCATGCTATGTTTCTCCACGTTTTCCAGGAAACGAGACAGGAGGCAGCATTTCAACCACCTCCCCCCAAACCAAACTCAACACAATCCTTTGGCACAAAGCCACTGCATCTCTCCCAGGACACGGGCAGAACCGTGGAATTGCCTTCCTCAGCATGGGTGCACGGATGGACCTGGACATACTTGCTCAACCGTACCAGTGTCTATCAGTGTGCAAGGACCCATGAAGACAACGTCTGTGCACCTTCGTGGGCCGGATCTCTGGCTCCCGACAGCCTCGTCATGAAGGGCTCTGCATGAGCAGCTCTCTGCCGCCTACTCTGAGACGTGACCTCCACGACCAGGACGTCTCTGTGACGTGCAGGGTTCCCTCTGTGGGTACTATTTGCTACGTGTCCCAGAATTAGCTCTGATCCAGAGAAGGAGCCTTTAAATCAGCGGTTCTCAACCTGTGGGTCGCGACCCCTTTGGGGGGTGTCGAATGACCCTTTCACAGGGGTCACCTAAGAGCATCGGAAAACACATATTTCCGATGGTCTTAGGAAGCGAGACACCACTCCTCTATCCGTCTCCAGGCAGGTCCACCCACATGCACATACGCCCACCTATGAGTACCCGCATGAAGACTGTTACCCATGCTGCACCATGCTTCAAGACAAAATTTCACTGATTTGTCATTAGAAATACATATTTCACAATATATAATTACATGTTGTTTTGTGATTCATCACTGCGCTTTAATGGTGTTCAATTTGTAACAATGAAAATACATCCCGCATATCAGATGTTTACATGACAATTCATAACAGTAGCAAAATGACAGTGATGAAGTGGCAACGAAATTATTTTATGGTTGAGGAACTGTATGAAAGGCATGAGGAAGGTGGAGAACCACTGATTTAAATAAAGATAGTGGCAAAACCAAACACCCTTTGTTATAATGGAACGTGTGTCACCCTCCAACCGAAGGAGACATCGCGCGTGCACCAGCAGAGAAGACACTCAACTAGACTGAACATCCTCTCCCGGCATTAATAGCACAGCTCAAAACAGCAGAAAATAACAAAAGCTTCGCAGGAGCTTGGGGCGCGCGTACACTGCTGCCACCACGGTGGAAAGCCAGCCGTCTGGTGCTCCCTCCGACCAAGGGGAGCAGCCCTAGCCCTGCCCCACAGTAGTGCTACTTGGGACAGGCCCAGAGTAAGGAGGGCCATCTTGAGAGCGGACTTGCGCTCGGCACAACAGCTCAGATGTGGAAACAACCTCAATGCTGGTCGGTGGAAGAACGGAAAAACAAACTGGTGCATAGACACAGTGGAACATCAGCGATGAAGAATAATGAGACTGTGAAACATCTCAGGACATGGATGTATTTAGAGGACATTAGACTGAGTGAAGACAAACACAAAAGGACAAATATTGCATAAGACCACTTTTTAAAAAAAAAAATTAGACCTGCACCCTGGGACTGAGGACTGCAGTATTCTGATGTGAGAGGAAGCAGAGTGGCTATCCTTGGCTGTGGAAGAAGTGGTGGTCATTGGACCTTGGGGAGAACCCCCAGCTTGGGGGGTGTCCAATAGAAAGGGACCCAGAATCACCATATATTTAGTCCCTCGATGACCCACCCCACCCCACCCCCACCCCCCCGCACCAATCCCTACTTAGGGTAAACACAGCCCAGTCGAATGGGAGATCAAACTGCAGGCCAACACCGCGTGGGCTGTGGCTCAAGGTGGGTCTGTCCTCGCATAGAGTCCTCCTCCCGGCTGGCCATGTCTGGAGTGCTGTGTCGCTGGGAAAACTGATGTCATCCGCGCCTTATCCTCCAGGGGGATGACTGACAATGCCGTACTCTTGTTTCTGTGGTCTTTGTTTTCCTGCTTTAGCATCTGTGTTGGCTGGTTTGCTGCTATTGTTGGTGTAGCTGGTCTTACGGGTTTTGATTTTGTCATGAGACGCCCGCCAAAGTAAACCTGGGTTGTACATATTCCACGGACAAGCAGATGGTGTCTGGGCTCCCAATGAACCCTAGCCCCAACCCAAGAACAGTTAGTTCTGATCACGTGGCCCTGCGCCACACTCACCTCCACGGGATGATCGCTGAAGATAAGGGTGCTACAGCAAACCGGGGAAGAAAGCAGGTGGTGCCCGACCAATGTCTGGGCTTGTATTCCAACAGTCAGCCATCTAAACTAATTCTAACAATCATCAACTAAGTCCACATCCAAGAAGCACACCAGCGTGCGTGATCCAAAGATGAAAACAGCAAAATTCAAATACAATGAAGGGAAATGTATCAGAGGTACAACTGTGAACACCTAGTTTGTGGAAGGCTGTGGAGAACACGGGGAGCCCAAACCCATCTGCAGAGCACCCAGTCAGACTAAGTCACAGATCCCCTCTAGCCACAGGCAAAGGTCTGGAACAGCCTTGCTATCAAATACGGATGATTGTAATCCTGATTATACTGGATCGGACTTGATACGTGGTCAGTTGACCTCTAGACTAAGGTGACCAGACGTCCTGCTTCTCGCTTTTTGGCGGGACAGTCCCGATTTTTGGTGTTTTAAAAAAGTCTCGATTTTTGGAAAGAATGCACGACAAGCTAGGGAACGGTCTATTTGGTCCACATAGACCACATTTTTTATCAAGAACACCCCCACCCCACCCCACCCCGCTCAATGGTGTCCTGCTTTAAACCTGGTCACCTAGCTCTAGACCCAACCTGAATTTGTTCTAGTTGCAAGGATCTCTTGCTTCTTCCATGACAAAACTTCCTTCCCTGGAAATACTGACGGAGGTCTTTTCTTTCTTGCTCATTGTTCATATTTTTATCTTTATATTGCTATTGTTTTATCCCTATCACTTCATTTCATTTTTGTTCCTTATTGTTTCAGTCGAGTTTACCAGTTTGTGAAGCACAGGAGTGGAGCCATAGAAATAATAACCAATGTAAGAGTCTGTAGGGGATCTAAGGGTGGGGGTGGGGAGGAGATGGGGTGAGGGGATTTCAAGAGTAAATAATGAAGGTGAGCAAGGGAGGGAGCACTAGAACTGAAGGTGATTACACAACTCATTTTAAAGGTGATTTAATCATGGGGTGCAAAAAAAGAAACTTCTGAAATTGATTGTGGTAACAAGTGTACAGTTCTTGACATGTTTGAATGATGGAATGTGGATTATGTGCCAATAAAACTGAGAAAAAAAAAGAAGTAAATATCTTAGAAATGGCATTAAAAAAAAATTGGGCTCGGCCCCCATACCAGCTACGTGGACAACAGCCCCTCCCCCAGAATAATTTACTTTAGAGGACGGCACTGAAGCTGCAGCTAGGGGAGAGGGGCATGTCTGATCAGAGCACACGGGAGCAAATGAAGGGGGAGGAAGAGAGTGGAGCACATCCTGGCCCACCAGACCTGGAGGACGATATCCCCGCTCCAAACTGCCCATGCACAGAGTGGATCACATGGTTGATCTCACTATGAGACATGCCATCCCTCGGTGTCCCATGGCCCTAGGGGGGACAACACTGGAGACTCAGTATTGGGATTGGCCTGGACTGACCCCAGACAGAGTCAAAACACTAAAGGTTTGCGGCAGAGCAACCGGGGGAGCAGAGCAGGGAGCTCCCGAGGGAGTCCAAAGGACAGACTCTGGGGCCAGAGCGTGGCACCCCATCGGACCTGACTGGAGGACATGCCTAGAGGCCAAAAATCAGACCTTGATCTATTTACAGGTTTTTCTTTCTTTTTAAAATTAATTTATTCTTTTCTGTTCATTGGTGTTCTTTTCTGTTGTTATCGTTGTGTTCTCTTGTCGTTTTGTCTTGCTGCGCCTTGATTTTTGGTGCATATTATCATCTCTGCAAATCTATCGAGATAAGATAGGCTGGATGAACAGTCTGGAGGAGAAAACAACAGGACCGATGGTTCCAGGGGGGACATGGGAGAGGGGGAGGAGGGGGTAAGGAGGTGGTGCTGACCAACCCAGGGACAGGGGAGCAACAAGTGATCCAAAATTAGTGGCAAAGAGGGTGTGAGAGGCATGTACATATATAAAGATATTTATATAGGATAGTGGGGAAATAGATCTACATGCATATATATATAGGTTTAGTATTAAGGCAGCAGATGGACATTGGACCTCCACTCAAGTACTTACTCAAGGCAAGAACACTTTGCTATTAAACTGGCATTCCATGATGCACACCTTCCCAACACGATCGCTGAAGACAAATGGTGCATAAGCAAATGTGGTGAAGACAGCTGATGGTGCCCAGCTATCAAAAGATATAGCATCTGGAGTCTTAAAGGCTTGAAGATAAACAAGCGGCCATCTAGCTCAGAAGCAACAAAGCCCACATGGAAGAAGTACACCAGCCTGTGTGACCATGAGGTGTCGAAGGGATCAGGTATCAGGCATCAAAGAACAAAAAAAATCTTATCACTGTAAATAAGAGTGAGTGCAAAGTGGAGACCCAAAGCCCATCTGTAGGCAACTGGGCACCCCCTTACTGAAGGGTTGCAGGGAGGAGACGAGCCAGTCAGTGTGCAGTGTA